AAATTTTTTTAATATAAACTTACAAACAACTTAATAACATACATGTTTTTTTCCGGTTTTTTTTTTATTTTTCACGAAACACGACGAGCCAGCATTGAATAATTTGATCTACCGATCTATACGAAAACACTACAAACAACTTAATTTGCCAAATAAATTCGGCGCAGCAAATATAAATTAGCCCGAAAAGGCCATTTATGAAACTTTGCTTGTAGCCTACCCCTCATAGTAATTGATTATTTGCGCTGACCAGAAATGGATGCCTTAAAATAATACTACAGTGTGGACCTTTTGGAGAAACTTGGCAAGCATACACGCAACCACCAAAAACTTACCTGTGGCGCAAAAAAAAACTTGGAAAAAGGTTCTTATAGTGGGTTGGGAGAACCCTGAAAATCAATCTGGTCTACCTAAAAAGTAGACAAGTTATATTTTTCAAAAAATCGTCCCTCAAGAAAATCCCTGACTTTACTATTAATCAATGAGTCTTAAATAACTCAGTAGAGTTTCAAATCTATTCTTTCTAAGTTTTAATTTAAAAATTTCAGTTTCTGATTTCTGAAGTTGTAACTTAAATGAACTCTCACATCATCACAAAAACTAGATTAAGTAACCAAAATCAAGGTAAAAAGTCAGTACTTTTTCAGGGTCTGGATTTTGATGGATGCAAGATGTCGAAGAATGAGAAGAGTGCGAAGAATATAGCGGAGGGCTGGAAGACGAAGTTGGATGCGCAGCGGAAGGAGAGTTCGCAGCTGAAGCAGAAGGACGTGAACGAAAAGGGTCTGAGACGCAATGCGAGCGAAGATGCGGCAAAGGAGACGAGAGTTAACGAGTACTTGGAATGAGTGGAAACAAATCCTTAATAAAATTACAAATGCTTACCAAAATAGATGACGCACATAAATGTTGGTGATGAAAAGAGGGATTACGCGGTTGAATGTGGGTGAGCCAGAGCTCAGTTTTGCTTCATTTTTTTTACCAATGGTTGTTAGAGCTCAGTGATAAAAATGAACATGAAATCAACTTATTTCTCAAATTGCTTCAAATGAATTCAGCACTTGACGGAGTAACTTGGCGATTAAGAATGAAGAAAATAAAACCGATTTTTCTATAGAAAAAAAACGTATTCTTTTCTTCGTTACCAACATGGCTTTTGCTTAGCTGATATTCAAAATGACTGCTGCTCAAATTAGATACGTTCTATAACTACTAGGGTGTTTCAAACCTTGTTTTTTATAAATTCTCTCTCATTTCACAAATATTTGGGTGATTCTTTTTTTGCAGTAGGTAGCAAAATTTGACAAATTTTGATGATATAATTCATTGAGTTGGATTGTTTTTTGTTCACGCATGTTTTCACAATCCAACGAATTTTCACTGCATCACAGAATTTTTAAACTCGTTTTTCTCAAATTAAGTTATGTTTGGCCAAAAAATGATGAGGACAAAAATTGCTTAGAGTTTTATGTGCTTTTTATAGTGCAATAATTTTTGAGAAATTTTGAACCAAATTTTGAACTTCAATTATTCATTTGGTTCAAATTAAGGAGATAATTATGGTAAGTAGTAGTTATTGTTATATCAATTGACTCTGTTTATCTCCTTAATTTTGACTCAAATGAATTGAAAAAATTCCTAAAAAAATAAAATAAAGCTGGTAAAACTCCAAGCTATTTTTGTCCTCATAACTTTTTTGCCAGAAATAACCTTAGTTGAGAAAAAAAACTTAACGTTTCTGGTTCAGTTCAATTTATCTGATTTTAATACTTCAGCCTACGTAGTAGCTTGTTCAGCACAAAAAAAAACAGTAAGAATTGATCATATTGTGAACACATATTTGAACAAAAAAAGTCATCTCAATGATATATATCCTCGAAATTTGCCGAATTTTATCTGCCTACTGCAAAAAAAATTACTTCAATCATCCAAATATTTGTGTAATGAGAAGGATTTATAAAAAGAAAACGGATCAATTGAGCAATCTCCCCCCCGTAATGACCAATTGAGCTATCTCCCCCCCCCAGCAAAAATGAATAAACTCTTCAAAAAGACGTCAGCAAACGGAAGTAGATGGATGTTTTGTTTATAGCACGCAATCATTTGACCGACTGAAGTTTTTTTTTTATATGAGTATCGAGAAAAATTTTGAAAAAAAAACTTGAAATTTATGAATTTTTTTCTTTTGCAAATTTTTGTATAGGCGACCATAGCCTCATCGAGGAAAGTGTTTTACCAGGGTTGGTGCTCTAGCCTTGTATCTGAATAGCAAAAACGGTTCTCCGCAGCACCTTAATATTGTACGCAATAGCTTTTTGTCATTTTAAGAAAGAAAAAAGTCGCTTTTTAAGCCTGATTTATTGATTCTTTTTTCTATTTGAATGAAACTTTTGAGCTTTGATATTGTAAATTTTGGCTTTCCACAGTCGTTGGAAAATATGGTTTATGATTTCATGTCATTCAATCTATTTTCAAGTGGTTATAAACATGTCTCAAGTACCTATTGAGCTATCTCCCCCCCACGCGAGAATGGGGGGGAGATTGCTCAATTGATCTAAAAAAACAAGTTTTGTAAACACCCGGTGAATCAAATAGCTGCATTTTGTTCATATAAATCATATTTCGCGGGTACCCAAGATTACAAATGGTGATTTCTTTTTGCTGGAAAAAAATAGTGACAAACAGCCTTAATTTAAATAAAATTATATTTTAGACTATAAAGTTTAATTAAGCTTTTAAATGAGTACTTTTAATCAAGCTCTAGTTAGACGTATATAGTCTCTACCTTCCTCTTTTCCCATATTGGTAATTTTTAAAGATTTTTGCACCAACATATTAAATATTGTAATTCCCACCAACATCTGAGATCCGAGGAACTTTGTATTCGAGAGTTGCCTTAGTTTTTTTTGTTTTCCACACAAAATCAGATACTAAAAGCAATCGTCAGAATAGGCCAAATGACAAATCATGTCTAAAAATTGTCAATCATGATTCCAACGCTATTTATAATATTTCAAAAAATTATCTTAGTTTCGCAAAAAACCGGTTAAAACTTTTCAAGTTACAGACTAATTTTGAACAAGTAAACCGACCGGGTAACTTGAAAATTGTTCATTAAGGCTACAACTTTTTGATAATACTACAACGAAAACTAATATAACTTTTCTTTAGCTATAATTTCACCTATTCATGCGCAAAAAATATACTAATTTGTAAGAAAAACATTAGAATGTAGTCGGATCATTGTGTGTTAGTTTCACAGCAACCGAATGTTCCTGTTTCTTTACGAATTTGTTGCTGGCTTTCAAGAAAACAAAGAACCCTGGTCGAGGCTTTCTGTTTGTTAAGCTATTAATGAGAGGAAAGAATGATTTAGCATATAGGAACAGAAAAATCACAACGAAGTCATTCACAGATACTTTATGAGATTCCTTTCTTGGAAGATTTGCGAAATTCTTGCAAGATTTGCATTCTTCCAAGAATTGCGTTTATTTTTTCGCAAAAATACTTTCCGATACATAATTTTAGTTGCTAAATATTATGTTTCTCATTTCTTAGCGCATTTTTTGAACAAAAAAACTTGCCTCAATTCAGCTTGAATAGGTTACTGATGCGATTTGTTTCTTTCGCTTTCGCTATGACTTAAAATAAAAAATGGTGGGTAGTGCGCAGTAACTATCTCAAATTGACAGAATGGGCAATTTGTATCCCCATTCTTTTGAAAAAATAGTCAGGGGTGAAACTTTAAAAAAAAATCGCTCAAGACATCACCAAACTTCTAACAAAAAAAGGTTGTCAAAAAACCTAATTGAAACATCTAAATGTGTATGGACAAAAACAGCCATCCCCTAACAACACAATTTGAAGCAATTAGTATTTGGGTGATAAAAATTCCAACAAAATCACTCCATTAAAAGTTTTTCAAGGCAACATAATATGTATGTTTGAATAAAATTGTTATTATTTGGGACTGCGAAGAAAAAACACCGTATATATATTCCGAATATATTTCAACAAAACAATTTTATGATCCAATGAAAAAATGGAGTTCAAATATAAAAAGTTGTTTTGCCCGCTATTGATATATTTAAGTGGTTTAAAAATTGCCAGTTTGGTCTTCAGTTCTGGACTAATTTGTGCACGCTTTTAAAACTCCGTTGTAGGGTGATTTTTTGTAATTTGTCCATTTTCCGTTTTTAAATCATTACATATTGATTTAATGCAAGCTAATCGGACATATTATTTCCAGCATGACTAAAAATTACATATTAATTTTCATTACGGTTCAATTAATTAGCCCTTACTGTTATATATTGGCTGCTGGGGATGAAAACAACCGAAGCTCATGTTTTACAGTTCACCAAAAATTTCACTTGAAGAGCAGTTGCAACACTCATTGCTTTGATCTGATATGAGCTTTCTTTACACTTGTACCGCCCAAATTCAGCATTTCAGCCGGTAAAAAAGATATTGATACTAACCAGTCAGAGTGTAAAACTTAAAACCATTTAATTTAACTCATCAATATCAGCAGATGAAAAAACTTCGAACAAACATGACAAGTTTCTTTAGACTTTATCAAATGAAAAAATAATGGCTTCACTACATACTTGCATGCACCAGCGGATTCAGAGGGGGGGGGGTTGAATTTTGGTTCAAAGTTCATCGCAAATTGAATGGATACACATGTACAGCTCCGAGTTGTTGTTAAGCACACACAAACCAAATAAAAAATGCTGTTAAATACTAAATCAGCAGAAAGTTTTAAGCAATAGGTGAGGCTTAAGTTTGATGAAAAATTGTTAATGCATTTTTTGAAATTTTTCTTGTTGGTCCATTCAAGGGGGGTAATTCAATACAAGTCAATGTGAATTCAAATTTTGGTACGAACTCAAATTTTGGTACCTAATTCTACTGGGCCTGATGTGAAGAAAAAAAAACTTCATTGTTTTTCAGATTTTAGCAAGGAAATAAAAACAGACCATTTCAATGTGCGACAAAACTTCAAGAAAAACTGTTATTAACCCACTATAACCACAAAATATTCAAGAGAAAACTTCAGTAGTCTGTTCGATCCAGCTTTTCATCTTGGGTATGTTTGTAAACACACTATGTCCGTTGCATCTAAAAAACTCAGATCCATCCCGATTGGTGAAGAAACTGCCGATGCCATATAGACAGGTGGGAACACTGGAATCACAGTAGGTGAGGAATAGGGGACCCCCTTCGTCCATCGCACAGATATTTGAACCCTGTAATATATTATGAAAACTTTTTATAATTGATCCCTTGAGTCTACCTCTGGGTCCATTTCTCGCTAGCCCCGAAGTTGTCAAAAATATCTATGTCCAGTTCAGCTGCACTAAAATTATCACTAAAACTGTTCATAATTTGTACGCTTTGAGGGAATTTGAGGTTTCGAGGAAAATATTTAAGTATTTTGAGCCAATAGTTCGATAGGTTATTTAAACTCTGATAACTCGTTACTGAGTTTAGGTAACAAAAACGAAGTTTTGGCTCAGAAAAAAGAATTTTGAGATTGAAAAGAAAGCCTGAAAATACTTGAACGATTGGAGTGCCACACACGTTGTCTTCCCTGCACCAGTCGAAACTGAGCAACCCAGAGGTCAGGAACTTCGCTTCTCTGAAGTACGTCTCCATCAGCACCTCCGGATACTCGTGCACACCTGTAGAAGTAGAACCCAAGCCACAAGTGCCCCATCCGAGTGCCA